TTTTTTTTTTGAGAGGGAGTCTCGCTCTGTCACCCAGGCTGGAGTGCAGTGGCACAATCTTGGCTCACTGCAACCTCCACCTCCCAGGGTAGAGACAGGGTTTCACCATGTTGGGCAGGCTGGTTTCGAGATGGGGTTTCACCATGTTGCTCTGGTTGGTCTCGAACTCCTGGGCTCAAGTGCTGGGATTACAGAAGAGAACCACTGTGCCCAGCCCCATGTGTATTAATAATATGATACCAGCTGGGTGTAGTGGCACACACCTATAATCCCAGCTACCTGAGAGGCTGAGGCACAAGAATTGCTTCACCCCAGGAGGCGGAGGTTGCAGTGAGCCAAGATCGTGCCACTGCACTCCAGCCTGGGTGACAGAGTGAGACCTGGTCTCAAAAATAATACTGATAATATGACACACACACAAAGGAAGGGGAGGTAGAGGTGAGGAACGGTAAATAGGGCTGCACAAAGCTTTAAGCAAGTCTCCCATTCATCTTTCTGCCTTCTTCCTTCTCTTTCTCCCTAGGACCCCCAATTCCCAACAGTGCCACTCTCCAGCCCCAGAGAATTTATTAGTGTTCCTTCCTCAATGAATCGAATGTGTCCTTTGCACAACCTTAGTCTCTGGGGCCTAAGGTATGGTCTACCTTTTCAATAAAGACAGTAGTCTTCAGGAGCCAGCATCCTAGCCATAGTGGCTTAATGATAGGAAGTTCAATTCCAGATGAAGGTAGCACCTGGTAGGACTTGGGGGACATTTGTGAGCTTTTACCCTCCCCAAGATTGCTTCTTAAGTTATTCCTGCCTAGGCAGTTGACTGCTTTGCCTACACACATCCCAGTTGGCAATTTAACTTAATATTTTTCAAAGATCAGGGGTTTTTGCCCAGGCTGGAGTGTAGTGGAATGATTATATTATCACTGCAGCCTCAAATTCCTGAGCTCAAGTGATCTTCTTGCCTCAGCCTCCTTAGTAGCTAGGACTACAGGCATCAGCCACCATGCCCAGCTAATTTTTAAATTTTTTGTAAAGACAGGGTCTCACTATGTTGCCCAGGCTGGCCAAATATCTATTTTCAGAGAGAAAGAACAGAATCAGTCAGTGCCTATTTCTGAATCCCTATTATATGCAAGATGCCGTGTGCACTGAAGGTTAAAAAAGACATCTGAGAAACCAACACGGTCCCTGTCCTCAAATTTGTTTTTAATATATTTGTGAAAAAGAACCTGAAAAGTTATAGGACAGCATAAGCAGAATGCACCATGCATTAAATATAGGCCAAATGTGTACTTCAATCTTGAAGGCAGGAAAGAAGGCTGCTGGAGAAGCCAAGGAAACCCTCAAAGAGGAAGTAGAATGTAATCTGGTCTTCAAGGTTGGGGAAAAGTTGGCTCAGCAGAGAAAAGCACATTCCAGAGTGAAGGAATAGCGTAGACAGAAGGGCAAGAGAGGAAAACACAAAACCTGTGCAGAGGCTAGTGGGTGGGCTAGGCCAGCTAAGACGGGGTGAGGGTGGGGCTCGGACAGGGAACCACAAGAGACAAGCTGGGAAAGGGATGTGGGGCCAGACCAGGGAGGGCAGCAGAGGAATGCTACCCTGGAGGGAACACTTTAAGTTGCTTTGGTGATTGAGGGATGAGCTAACACTCAGTAGACAGGGCCCAGAATGCAAGACAGTCCTATATGGAACAGTTGTGTGCCATGAAGAACAGTTTCTGACTTCCTTACTTGTATCAGCTATCTATTGCTGCGTAACAACTGTCCTCAAATTTAGTGGGCAAAATCAGCAGCAGTTGTAATTATAATCCTCATGACTCTGAAGGTTGGCTGGCTGTTCTTTTTTTTTTTTTTCTTTTTGAGACAGAGTCTTACCGTCACCCAGGCTGGAGTACAGTGTTGCAATCTTGGCTCACTGCAACCTCCTCCACCTAGGTTCAAGCAATTCTCCTGCCTCAACTTCCCAAGTATCTGGAATTACAGGCATATGCTATCGCACCCAGCTAATTTTTGTATTTTTGTAGACACAGGGTTTCACCATGTTGGCCAGGCTGGTCTCAAACTCCTGACCTCAAGTGATCTCCCCAGCTCAGCCTCCCAAAATGCTGAGATTGCTGGTGTGAGCCACCACACCTGGCCAATCTTAGGAATATATATATGTATATATAATTTATATATAAAAATTCACTGTTGTGTATGCCCTGGATTTTAGGCATCTGGGACACCAAGGTGGGGAGGGGCTGAAATGATTCAAGAGGGGAATGAAAAAGGAATGTGAGCCCTCATATGTGAAAGGGTGGGACAGAGGGGATGGAGGGGAGAGAATAAAGATGAGACACTCCAGGAAGGAGGTGCGACAGGACCTGTGGTTGGTTGATGGGAGCCAGGCCTGCTGAGGGGGAAGGCATCCTCCCTCTGCACTTTTCCTCCTTGATAGCACAGCAGTGCATCTTAGAACACAATGAAGAAACACATGTGAGCTCCTAATCTTCTCAGGGAGCTTGTCATTCCTTGAATCAGCTGGTCCCCAGAAACATCACTCTGTTGCTGAGGTCACCATCATGGACAGGAGGGCTGGGGTCCCTCAGAGGGTGGGAAGGTATGCCGACTGCCTGGGAACTGCAGGGGGAAGGACACAGCTGACCCACCAGGAAGATGCTGACCCATTCTCTCCTGTGCTTGGTCTCCAAGTACAACCCCCTTAACCTCACAGCGCTGGACTGGTCCCTATTGAGCAAGAAAGAGTGTCTGAGCTATGGCGGGCGCCTGCTTGGGAACTCCTGCAAGTTTATCCCAGACCTGGCGCTCATGTCCTTCATCCTTTTCTTTGGGACATACTCCATGACGCTGACCCTGAAGAAGTTCAAATTCAGCCGCTATTTTCCTACTAAGGTAAGCACATCCTGCTGTTAGGAGGGGACCTACAGTCAGACCGCTGCTGCGTTCCCCAGAGAGGGTTCTGGTCCACTGTCAGGATGGACTCCATGTGAGCACTGGCTCACTGGGGTTTTTCAAGTTAAGTCAGAGAGAACTGTGTTCCCTTGTTGGCCAGTCCCCTTGACAACACTTGGTATCATCAGGCTTTTATCTTTAGTCTTTTTGTACAGTAGTATCTCGGTTTTTTGTTTTTTTAATTTTTCACTTTCCTGATGATTAATGAAAGTGAAAACACAGCTATTCCTGTACTTACTGACCATATGGCCAGCTGACTTTCTTTTTGGAAGTACCTATTGAAATCTCTTGCACATTTTCTTTTTTTTCTTTTTTTTTTTTTTTTTTTTTTTTTTTTTTTTTTTTTTTTTTTTTTTTTTTTTTTTTTTTTGAGATGGAATCTCACTCTGTCTCCAAGGCTGGAGTGCAGTGGTGCGATCTCGGCTCACTGCAACCTCTGTCTCCCAGGTTCAAGTGATTCTCCTGCCTCAGCCTCCTGAGTAGCTGGGATGACAGGCACCTGCCACCACGCCAGCTTAATTTTTGTATTTTTAGTAGAGACAGCGTTTTACTATGTTGGCTAGGCTGGTCTCAAACTCCTGACCTCAAGCGATCTGCCCGCCTTGGCCTCCCAAAGTGCTGGGATTACAGGCATGAGCCACTGTACCTGCCTCTTGCACATTTTCTGTTGGTTTGTCTGCCTTTCTGATTTGCAAGAGTTCTTTACATATTTTGGGTAGAAATGTTTTTGTGACTATATGTGTTGTGAAATCTTCTCCCACTCTGTAACTGTTTTTTTCTTTTTACATCCTTAATAGTATCTTTTGATTAACAGAAATTCTTAGTTTTATTGTAATTGAATATATGAAACTTTCCTCAAGGAAAATATTGGACAGAAGATATTCTTGTATGTTACCTTCTAAAAGCTTCATTGTTTTTCCTTTCATGTTAGATATACAATCCATCAGAACTGATTTTGATGTAGACTGTGAGATACTGTTTCTTTGTGATTTTATATAAATAGTCAATTGTTCCAGTATTTTTAAAAGACCATTCTTTCTCCATTGCTTTGCAATACTTCCTTTGCTATATATAAAATATTCCTATATGTCAGGGTCTGTTTCTGGGTTCTTTATTCTGTTTTACCAGTTTATTTATATATCAGTATCACAGTCTTCATTTCTGTAGCTTGTAAGTCTTTATATGTTTGTCTCCCAAAATCTCTCTCTCTTTGTCCTTTTTATATAATATTTTCTTGGCCCTTTCCATTTCCACATGAATTTTAGAATCATCTTAAATTTCACCAAAATAAAAACTTGTTGGAATTTTGATGGGATTATCTTGACTCTGTATGTCAATTTGGGAAGAATTTACATCTTTCATATTTTGAGTGTTCTGATTTATGAGTATGGTATACTTCATTTATTTTGGTCTTCTTTCTCTCCATAATGTTTTATATGTTTTGATCTTGAAGTCTGGAACATTTTTTATTAGATTTATTCCTAGGTACTTGATTTTTTTATACTATTATAAAAGCTAACTTCTATTTTATTTTTTAATTATTATTTTTTTGAGACAGAGTCTCACTCTGTCACCCAGGCTGGAGTGCAGTGGCGCGATCTCAGCTCACTGCCACCTCCATCTCCCAAGTTCAAGTGATTCTTCTGCCTCAGCCTCCCAAATAGCTGGGACTACAGGTGCCTACCACCACGCCCAGCTAATTTTTGTATTTTTCGTTGAGACCAGGGTTTCACCATATTGGCTAGTCTGGTCTTGAACTCTTTACCTCAGGTGATCTGTCCACCTCAGCCTCCCAAAGTGCTGGGATTACAGGTGTGACCCACGGCACCCAGCCTTAACTACTGTTTTAAATTTTATTTTCTATCTGTTTGTGGCTGGAATAAAACATTTATTAATCAAAACAGCACTTGCATATGTAAGCAGTGACTACGTCCTGGTGGGCATACTCGGAAGAATCTTAGCAACACCTTCCCATCGTAAACTCTATTACACTCCCCTAAAGCCATCTAACTAAATATTGCAGTTGCTACTGCTTCTAATCATAATGATAAAATATCTGCTGTAAATAGTTGAATTATTCTCAAATTTCCTAAAGACTGAAAAAAAGGTACCCTGGGGAGCTTTGTAGTATATAAAAAAAATAATTTGCTTACAGCACAAGTGCATCCTCAAGACAAGTTCTCTTCCTTCCTCCCCACTTCCAGCCCAGAGCATATCCCTAAATCTCCTCTTATGTAAAAATTCTCAAGCAGTCACTGTATCTGAAAATATCTGTTGCCTGAAGGTTAAAAAGTAATTCATATGGCATGAAGTTCTTGCATCACCAACTTTTTTTCCCCTCATATTACTTAAAAGTTGCTCAGTTGCCTCCTGGCATTTTGGGTTGCAGAGAGGAATGAGGCCACACCATTTCATACTCATCAGATTGGAAGATAAAGATCTCAGGACACCAGATGTTGGAGATGAAAAGCAGTAGGTAGAAGTGTAAACAGATACATCAGAGCAACTGGCACTCTCTGATTAGGTTGGCCCATGTGAAGTTGCCCATATCTGGTTGTTTTGACATACAAAAAATGGCAAATTCATGTGGTTTAACTTAATAACCATTCATATGGTTTTGACCTGTATGCTAGGAATATTATAGAAAAGGAAGTATAAACCTAGAACACTACTTGGTTCTTCTGTGACTAATATTTATATGATCATAATAATATAAAGCTATTATTAATTTTCAACTTTTGGAATTGACTTAGATAAAACACACAAGGCATGTGTTTACAGAACAAGATATGAGTGTTCTCAGCTTTGACAGTGGAAAGGTCAAAGTGGAGGTATCACAGGAAGGAAGAGAGAAGGGGAGGAGAGAGGAGGTAGGAGGATAAAAGCAGTGGTCCTCACCTTGCAAGATGGAGAATGAGAGATATTAGCCAAAGCTAACGGAAAGAGAGGTTTCATTATATAACGTGAAAGTACAAAGGGAACCCATAGGAGCGTAAAATTAACCATCAAAGATTAAAAATAAGGAAAGGACAGGAGGCATAGTGTAAGTAAAGCTAAATTCTTATCGATAGAAAATCCCTTAAATTAGTAAATGAAAATATTAAAGTATATGCATATTAGTTAATGATATGGAGGGAACCTCCAGAACAAGTAAAGTTAAGCAGACATAGTGGGTGGATCTGGAAGGTGGAGCTGGATCGAGAAAAGGGGAGGTGGGAGACTTTGCTTTTCCTTTAAGTCTTTTTCCACTCTGTGGGTTTTTAACCAATTACAGATATTATGTTAATAAAAATTTAAAGAGAAGAAGGGAATGCAGGGAATGAAGTCAATGTACTGTCACCTGCCCCTGCCCTTCAAATTGACTTCTCTGAAAAGATATAAAAATGGCCACAGGGTAGACATGGGGAGACCCTCTGCCACGAGACTTCTAGACATAGAATTGGTTTGGAGAGAGGTTGAAGGACATTGATTCAGAATGGGCAGGAAGGTCAGGTTTAGAACTTGGTCTAGGAAGAGCCTCCAGGTTCAGAACCTGGCCTAGAAGGGCCTCCTGAGAAACAGAGGAACAAGAGGCTCTTGGTGGACAAAAGGTTTGAGAATAGCCAATGGTCCCAGTGGAATTGGGGAGCCTCCCTCCCAGCCCAGGTGGGGTACAATAACCTGTCACAGGTTTGTAGGAGCTAAGGTTTGCTTCAGAGTTCAGCCTTTGCCCTCATCACACCTGCTGGATAAGAGTCATTACACCTCTCGAGCAGAGTACAGATTCGAGCCTAGACTGTAACAGTTCACCTCTTTGCTGCCTGAGGCCTGGGGCTACCTGGAGCTGGGTGGGTGCTTCACTCACTTGCTTTCACTTGCTTATCTCCTGTCTGCAGGTCCGGGCCCTGGTGGCTGACTTTTCCATTGTTTTCTCCATCCTGATGTTCTGTGGAATCGATGCCTGTTTCGGCCTGGCAACCCCCAAGCTGCACGTGCCCAGTGTCATCAAGGTTTGCCCCTTGCCTGCCCACCAGCTGCAGATTCTTTCCCCTCTGTGCTGATCAAACTCTCTTCTCTCAGCCAAGAGACCATGTTAGTTCTCTGTCTGTGCACCACCTTTCCTGAACACTGGCTCCCAGGAGCTGATCCTTTGAGGTAGGGTGGGGAAGGGTGACATATTTACCGTGAAATCCTGATCTGTAGCCATGAGGTGATGAAGGCACTGGAATTCACCCTCCAACCCAGTGGAAGCCTCTTGATTCCTGTTTGAAGGTCTCCAGTTCCCTGACCTCTGGCACTCTACAAGCTGGCCCAAATGGAATCTGTTGAAACTGAACCCTTAGAATAGTGATTCTCAAAGTGTGATCTTCAGACCAATATCACAGCATCGCAGTCAAGGGGAACTCATTAGAAATGCAATTTCTCAGCCCCATCTGTGGAATCAGAAAAGCTAGGGGGTTGAACCAGCAATCTGCATTTTAACAAGCCCTTCAGGTGACCTAGAGTATGTTCAAGTTTGAGAACCACTGCTTAGAAATTACTCACTTGTCCAGAATCGGTGACATATGCTTGTAGCTAAACTCAGAACCACTCCCTCATAAGAGCACCAACCATCTCACCAGAGTATGAAGTCCAGATGTCCAGATTTTAGAACTTCCTCTCCCTGTCTTTAAGGTCTGTTTTTTTTTTTTGGCAAAGTCTCACTCTGTTGCCCAGGCTACATTGCAGTAGTGCAGTCACAGCTCACTGCAGCCTCAACCTCCTGGACTCAAGTGATCCTCCTGCCTCAGCCTCCCAAATAGCTGGGACTATATAGGTGCATACCACAACACCCGGCTAATTTTTGTATTTTTTTTGTAGAGATGGAGTCTCCCTATGTTGCCCAGGCTGGTGTTTAACTCCTGGGCTCGAGTGATCCTCCTGCCAAAGTGCTGGGATTACAGGCATGAGCCCCCCTACTCAGCTTCTGAGGTCTTGACCTTCAAGACATTATTGTTTCAGGGTTCTCCTAAGGAGCTTAAACACATCTCATTTAACTCGCATTGGCCTGGAAATTAAAGTAACTCTTTTTTTTTTTTCTTAAATAAAAAAAAGATAAAGCTCCTGCACAGATAGTTCCTCATCCTTAACATGCAGAACTGAACTGATGGTCAGCATTCTGCAGGCAATTCTAGAATGCCCCCATACAGGTGACTCCGGAGAGGCAGAAGCTGTTGGCCCTGAGCCCACCCATTTCTTTATTTTCTGTTGGGCCTCATTTCTGCTGTTTGTTATTTGTAGTGAGTGCATTCTTTCTCCTGGCTGGCCTCTGATCCACACCTCCACGTTTCCTGCCCAATCTCGGGGCTATTGCAGCAAACTACCTCCTTAGTTTTACAGACACTGTCTGCATACATGCTCCTTCCCATGTCTGAATTTAGTCTAAAGTTGCAGGTACCTAATGTGTTTAAGGGAAAAGATTTCACTTGAAAAGTACCCCAGATCAGGGAAAGTCGAGGAGGTGGGACAGCAGGCCAGGTGGCAAGTGCCCTGGGACAAGCGAGAGAGGAAAGGGCCCCTCTCTGTTTGCTCCCACTTAGCCCACACGGCCTGACCGAGGCTGGTTCGTGGCCCCCTTTGGGAAGAACCCGTGGTGGGTATACCCAGCGAGCATCCTGCCTGCCCTGCTGGTGACCATCCTGATCTTCATGGACCAGCAGATCACTGCCGTCATTGTCAACCGGAAGGAGAACAAGCTGAAGGTAAGGCCGGTACTAGGAGCAGAGGGTTAACCACTTTCTTCTCAGAAAGTCAGAAGGAGCAAAGGAAGAACATGATACTTCTTTCAATGCTTTGGGCCAGGAAAATATGAGGACAGAAGACTGGAGTTCCCACTTGGTGTGTTGATGGGGAAATGTGACCTCCAGATGTGGGTAAGGCCACCAGGGCTGGTGTGACTTTCTGAGGACCAGGAGCAAACTAGGCTGAGCCACTGGGCACAGGCTCCCTGTCTTTCCCAAAGTGGCCTTGAGTTCTTATCTCCCAACATGAACCTGAAAATCAGCAGATCCTGATGGGGGCACAGCCTAGAACACTGAGGCAGAGGAACTTCCTTAGGCTTCCTGGTCTCTGCAACTCCCCACCCAGCCTGTGAGCCTGAGAAGACTTGGGCCACTCCCTTCCCCATCTCAGTCTGGACCACTCTAGGTGTGGCCTGTGCCAGCTGCAGTGCCTCACTCAGGAACTGCAGAGACCCTGTGGCCACTTTCTGGGCTCTTCTCCCCAGAGATCCAAACCCAGGGCCTCTTCAAGTTTGAGCATCCCTCTCTTCCATCACCTATGTCCCTTAGGCAGCTCACCCTTTCAGACGGGGTGGTGGTGGGACCCATCCACCTCTGCAGTCCTTGCAAGGTGCACCTCAGGCCTCGTCAGTATCTCTGGAAGGCAGGGGGAGCCCTTGAACAATGTTCCACAGAATGGCTGCTTCCAGGAAGAACCGGCTCCCCAGAAACTTCTCCCTCCCCTCCTCCACCCCTGCAGAAGGCAGCTGGCTACCATCTGGACCTCTTCTGGGTGGGCATCCTCATGGCCTTATGCTCCTTTATGGGGCTCCCCTGGTATGTGGCTGCCACGGTCATCTCCATTGCCCACATCGACAGCCTCAAGATGGAGACGGAGACCAGCGCCCCTGGGGAGCAGCCCCAGTTCCTGGGAGTCAGGTAGGAGGGGTCAAAGCCTAGGGAATACCCGACAGGGAGGTGTTCACTCAGGGAGGGGAAGCTGGCTTTGCCTGTCTCACCAAAGGATTTGGACAAAAAGGGCCCATGCTCTGACGGCCCAAGGACCACAGGGACAGGAGTGCTATCCCTGGAGGGAGGGAAGGAGAGAGATAGAAGTCCAACTCTAAGTGGGGCTTTTTACCTACTAGACTCCAAGCAGTATGCATACCCCAGCCATAAACATACACAGACATGCACACCAGACACTCACCTGCATCAGCCATCCAAGGTCCCACACAAGGCCTCGTGCTGTCCTGACCTTTTTCTCTTCCTCAAGACCCTGCAGGTCCCTACTGCACCGACGGCCCTCCTTGGGCTCAGGTCTTGCTTGGTCTCCTCAGAAGGCTATCCCAGGACCACCCTTGCTCCCCAGTCTGTGGCTCTGCCTGTTACCCCTGTTCCTTCACTCGCCCCTTCTCTCATGTGCCATGTTAGGTAGAGAAGTGCGTCTTAAGCCCCTTAGGACCTCCAAGATGAAACCACACCAAACCCTGGTGTTCTCCTACGTGACTGCCCTAAGTACTTCTCCCACTATCTCGGGATACCTGGACCGCCCATCCTGCCCGAATGAGGCTTCTCTGCCCACCTGCAGGGCTCACTTGTCTCCCACCCCTGACACCTGTTCTGCTGGTAGCCAGACCCCTTTCTCCAGATCCTCAATCATTGTGCCCCACAAAAGCGAGATCTTACAATCAAAGGGCAGAGTAATAGCATTTATCTCGAATGTATCCTCAACAATAGGTGCCACTATTACTGCATATACTGAGGCTCAAGATGGGCAGAGCCCTGCCCAATGCCACATAGCTAGCTAGTGGCAGAGCCGGGATCCAGCCCACATCAGTTCTGCTCAGGTACCCCAGCTATGAGCCACTACACTGAACAGCCCTCAGTGCCCCTGCAAGAAACCCCCTCCATAGTCAGGGGCCGCCTGTCTTCCCACATATGGTTCAGCTGGGCTTCAGGGAACCAGGCAGAGCTCCATGCAGGAGACCTCGAGGCCATGGCCTTGGACACAAGCTTCAGGTGCCCACAGAGGGGCAGGCATTTCCTGGTACAACCTGACCATGTGCTCTTCTCTGCCAGGGAACAGAGAGTGACCGGCATCATCGTCTTCATCCTGACGGGAATCTCTGTCTTCCTGGCTCCCATACTGAAGGTGAGGCCCTGCACTCTCACCCAGGGCCTCATCGTCTAAGAAAGCAGAGTGAATGCCTCAGGCAGGGAGAGGGTCTCCACGTAGCTAGGGATCACTGGTCTATCGGCCCCCTAAGAAAGGCACAGTCTTCACTGGGCGCAGTATCTCACACCTGTAATCCCAGCAGTTTCGGAGGCTGAAGCAGGCGAATCACCTGAGGTCAGGAATTCAAGACCAGCCTGACTAACATGGTGAAACCCCGCCTGTACTGAAAATACAAAAATTAGGCGGACGTGGTGACGCATGCCTAAAATTCCAGCTACTCAGGAGGCTAAGGCAGGAGAATCGCTTGAACCCAGGAGGCGGAGGTTTTGGTGAGCCAAGATTGCGCCATTGCACTCCAACCTGGGCAACAAGAGTGAAACTCCAGATCAAAAAGAAAGAAAGAAAGAAAAAAGGCACAGTCTTATTAGGCCAAAGTCATGTTTCCACACTGTCACCATTGTTTTCTGTGATACTGCAGTTGTTGTTGTTGTTTTGTTTTGTTTTGTTTTTTTGAGACAGAGCTTCACTCTCATTGCCCAGGCTAGAGTGTAATGGCATGATGTCGGCTGACCACAACCTCTGTCTCCTGGATTCAAGCGATTCTCAGCCTCTCGAACAGCTGGGATTACAGACATGTGCCACCACACCCGGCTAATTTTGTGTTTTTAGTAGAGACAGGGTTTCTCCGAGTTGGTCAGGCTGGTCTTGAACTCCCAACCTTAGGTGATCCGCCCACTTCAGCCTCCCAAAGTGCTGGGATTACAGGCATGGGCCACCATGCCCGGCCGATATTGCAATTTTTTATCATCACCAATCCTCTCTCCTACCCCTCCCAGGGCCACTCTCACCTTTCCGGAGGATACTCTTCCCTCCAAACGTTCTGCCAAGTTCTAGCCCTGCTTAGATCAGGAACTTCCTGAATGGGGTGTGTGTCCACATTGCTATGGTTTGGGGCTCATGAAGTTTAAAACTTGCAGTGGGAGGCCAAGCATGGTGGTACATGCCTGTAGTCCATCTACTCAGGAGGCTGTGGCAGGAGGATCACCTGAGTTCAGGAAGTCTTGGGACTTGGGTGACTTTTCCCTACCCAGCTTGAAGCTCCTCTTGCTCATGTCCCACCACAACAGCTAAGAGACTAAATCAAATAGGGGTACAATGGAGGCAGGCATCCCCCACAAGAGTCTCTTTCTGGGGAGACTCCAGAAAGCTAGGTGTTCCCAGCAGGTTTCCCTGCTCTCCACTGCAGCCAATCGTCCATCAGTCTCCCTTTCCCTTGATCAGTGCCCACACAAGACCTTCCTTTCTTGAATTAAGTTTATCTATAATTGCCTCAACCTTTTGCCAATACTATTTTCCTTCTTTGAATATCTCAAAATAGCTCATAACCAGGCATGGTGGCTCACGACTGTAATCCCAGGACTTTGGGAGCCCAAGGAGGATCACTTGAGGCCAGGAGTTCAAGATCAGTCTGGGCAACATAGCGAGACACCCCATCTCTACAAAAATTACAAAAATTAGCCAGGCATGATGGTGCATGCCTGTGGTCCCAGCCACTAGGGAGGCTGGGACATGAAGATCACCTGAGCCCAGGAGGTCAAGGCTTCAGTGAGCCGTGATCATGCCACTGCACTCCAGCTAGGGCAACAGAGTGAGACCTCATCTCAAAATTTTAAAAAATTCGTTCAGAGGTGACCTTTTAGAAACAAAGGCTAAAGAATCATTAAGCTAGCTGATGTGTTTACAATGGAAAATATTTCTGGCTTGAGAATTGGTGCTGGGCATACCTGAGCAGTAGGTAGGAGGCTAGTATTTTTTTTTTTTTTTTTTTTTTTTTTTTTTTTGAGACGGAGTTTCGCTCTTGTTACCCAGGCTGGAGTGCAATGGCGCGATCTCAGCTCACCGCAACCTCCGCCTCCTGGGTTCAGGCAATTCTCCTGTCTCAGCCTCCTGAGTAGCTGGGATTACAGGCACGCGCCACCATGCCCAGCTAATGTTTTGTATTTTTAGTAGAGACGGGGTTTCACCATATTGCCCAGGATGGTCTCGATCTCTTGACCTCGTGATCCACCCGCCTCGGCCTCCCAAAGTGCTGGGATTACAGGCTTGAGCCACCGCACCCGGCAAGGCTAGTATTTTTTAAGGAATATTTCCCTTGTGGGGGAAACAAATTACACACAGGAGGGAAAGCATTCTGTTTATTTAAAGATATATTTTAAATGGCCAGGGACTATTTACTTTTGTAGAGAGGGTTCCATTGTGTATGTCTATTTTGACACTGTTTAACATACAACTATTTGCATTAAAAAGCTTGAATCGGGCTTGGCATGGTGGTTCAAGGCTGTAATCCCAGCACTCTGGGAGGCTGAGGCAGGTGGATCACCTAAGGTCAAGAGTTCAAGACCAGCCTGGCCAACATGGTGAAACCCCATCTCTACTAAAAATACAAAAATAACCATGTGTGGTGGCACACGCCTGTATCCCAGCTACTCAGGAGGCTGAGACAGAAGAATTGGTTAAGCCCAGAAGGCGGAGGCTGCAATGAGTTGAGATCCCACCACTGCACTCCAGCCTGGGCAAGACAAAGTGAGATTCTGTCTAAAAAAAAAAAAAAAATCCGAATCTGCCAGGCATGGTGACTCACATCTGTAATCCTAACACTTTGGGAGGCTGAGGTGGGAGGATCACTTGAGGCCAATAGTTTAAGACCAGAATGGCCAACATAGCGAGATTCTGTTTCAAAAAAAAAACAAAAACAAAAACTCAAATCTAAGAACAGCATTCTTTAGGGGCCAAAAATTCCTCTAAAGCCCTTTTAGTGTTGGCATAGTGCTCTGTGTGCTCCAGAGTGCTCTGACATGACTGCAAGGAGGAGCATCCTCTGCTCACCGTGGGGAATCACAGCTGCAGGTGAAGAAGAGGCGACAGGCAGAAATAGACAGCGGAAGAATGCTTTGAAAGGCTGTGAAAGATTTGGAATCACTCTTGTAGAGTGGGATGAATTCCATGATCCCATGTTTGAAAAAGCAAACAAGCTGCCTGTGTGCAAGTTTGGAGGGAAGGGTACCCACCAAACTATTTGTGGTTAGTTGGTGACGAGTGCTGATTAGTTTACACACTTCTGTTTTGCTTCCTTTTTATGTGATTATGTATGATGCACGATTTCTTTTTTTTTTTTT